AGGGGGAGCCGACAACACCCCTCGTTGTTGCACTGGTTGGCTATGTACCACAGGAACCTCTCAAGGCCTGAGAGTTGTGTGGAGCCCTGGCTTATGACCAGAGGAGCCAGCAAGAAAAGGTGGACAACTGAGAACAGAATTTCAAATGCCAAATCGAGCTTGTCCCCGGATGTCTGGTTCTTCCTCGCTAAAGAGGAGCCAATAAATGTGCACCTCTTGGAGGATGTGCCTGACATGATTTTGGACCAGTTGCTAAAGAAAAGAGTCAACTGTCAGGCCAGGAATACATGGGCCCCTAAGATTCAACAAAATATCCGGGCGATGCCACGTTGCTACCTGCAGGTGGCAGCACCATGACTCATAGACTACAAAGCCAGAAATGTTTTTGGCAACTAAAAATAACCACAAAGCCCACGGGAAAAGAAAAATTTTGGTGATTAATTCCCATTGTGAAGTGTCTTATGTGGCCAGTGTGTAATTAGTTACAACAAGTTTTCATTCCAGGGTGTGACTTCTAATGATCACCTACAAGTGAACCATGTCAACACAATCATTTTTACTTTTACATGTGCCCTTCCAAATCTGGCTCATCCGCATATATTTACATACTCAGAGTCTGTTTTATCAAGGCTATATTTGAAAAGGAAGTACATAATTTTTCTTTCTCTGTTAGACACCTACTTTTTTTTTTGTCTTTTTCGGTACCAGGGATCGAACTCACGACTGCCTGCTTGCAAGGCAGGTGCTTATGCCGCTGAGCTAAATCCCCAGCCCTGCCACCTACTTTTTTCTGAAATCTCACTGGCTTCATTAGCCTCAAATATCACTACTGCACAGAAAAGCAGCCCCCTTTTTATCTCTACTCAGCCTCTCTTGTTTCCTCATTATCCCTCTGTTTATTCACCTCATGCAAGGTGCTGGGTACTGAGAGTGTGGAAGGAAGAGCACAACCAGATCTGTCCTGGAGCTTCTGCAGATCACTGGGGACCATGGAGGGGATCAGTGGGAGCAAGAAAAGATAATGATGTTAAAAGAGGTATCGTGGCAATTTTGAAAAAGCCTCTGTACTAACTTGGAGACCTAAATATAGAGAAGGCCAACTGAGTATAGGAAATTGCATGTGCAGAGATATGGACATTCAAGTGAACATGACACCTTCCGGAAACCACAAGTGGTTTAGTATTGGTGGAGCTTATGTTGGCTGGGGACTCAGAGGGCAGGGCTGCAGGCAGGGGCTGATCTTGAGGAGACTTGCAACAGACTTGCAACATTAATCTTGTAGATAACTATCTTAGTTCCAATCAATTTTCCACTCTGCAGCCACAGTGATAAAGCACTTTGCTTTATCAATGCATGTGGCCCAACCCTGCTTCAGCATTCCATAAACTGAGCCCGTGAATATCTCCAACTGCCTTACCCACACGCCACATGCTTCTCTGTCCTTGAACACTCTTTTCTTCTTTGACTAGTAAAAGTCTCAGCCTAAATCTCACCCCCTCTGCTTCCATGATCCTGGAAGAGGTCGAGTCTTTTGCTTTGTGCTATCAGTACGAGCCTTGTCGTAGTCTCAGAAGTATGAGTGTAGCCTGCAGTGAAATAGATGCTCAATTAATGTTGGTAGAGAGAAGAAATGAATGCATGAGGTTTTTAATAGCACCCTGGATATTTTTACCTGCACATCTCCTACAGTGTTGAGTTCTACATTTGCTAAATTGGGCCATCCATTATCTCCTCACCTGCCATCTCCCTTCACTGTGTCCCCCCACCCACCGCCACTCAGCTATTTCTCCTTTCTTTCTCCACGTCCTGTATCAGTATTTTGTAGCAGAATGTCCAGCACAGAACATCATGGCAACTATGTGGTTGCACAAAAGAAGAGCTAGAGCTTAAGTACAAATGGAAGCTCCCGTTCTTTTCTTTTAAATAATTTTTTTTGTCTTTTTCCTTTTTATCCGTACCAGGGATTGAACTCACAACACCTGCTTGCAAGGCAGGCGCTTATGCCGCTGAGCTAAATCCCCAGCCCCCAATAATTTTTTCTTTTGAGACACCATTTTGCCATATAGTTTAGGTTAGCCTTTTTTTTTTTTTTTTAATTTTTATTTGTAGTGTTTTTTTTTTGTCTTTTTCATTTTTATCGGTACCAGGGATTGAACTCACGACTGCCTGCTTGCAAGGCAGGTGCTTATACCACTGAGCTAAATCCCCAGCCCCTTAGGTTAGCCTTGAACTCACTATGTAGCCCAGGCTTGGGCTTAAACTTTTACAGTCCTGCCTCAGCCTCTGAGATGCTGGAGTTACAGGCATGTACCCCTGTGCCTGTATTATTTTAAATAAATAATTTAAACATGTTGCTGGGGATTTAGCTCAGCTGCATAAGCACCTGTCTTGCATGTATGCAGTTGTGAGTATGATCCTCGGCACCAAAAAAACAAAAAAACAAAACAAAACAAAACCCCTTAAAAACATGTGGATGCTACAAGTATCTGAATTCTAGGTTTTAATAATGGAGCTGTCTTGCCTGTGAGCCTACAGTAGCATATCATGATTCTCCTTCCTCCCTCTCGTAATCAATACATGGAATCTGAGTGCCAATCATTGAGCGCAATAACAGCCAGCCCCTTTTCTAGGGCTTTTCCCAGCTCTGAGGGTGTGATCTAGCCAGGACAAAGATGGAAAGAAATTTCACGAAGGTCAATGCTCCCAACAGTTAGAAGTATGGTACATGGTTCTCTTGGTTCCTAAGCTGGTCCTCCAGTGGCAAATATTTATGATGTTCTCCTTACTCTCTGGGCCCACTCAGAACGAAGAACTGTAAGCCTTTCCTACTCCCCTGCTCCAACCTCTGCTGATCAAGCAAGTCTTTCTCTTTTATTTCTCATTTTTTTCTTACCATTTTAGAAAGAAGTGTCATAGTGGGGAAGAAAATATGAGTTTTAACACAAGGAAAGCCTTGGTTCAAATGTGGACCTACTATAGTTTGGTTTCCTTGGGTTTACTGCCAACCTCTCGAAGTCTCAGTTCCTGAGTCTGTAAAAGGGAATATATTACCCACCCTGGGAGGTACGATGACTATATGCAGGTCAGGTGGTACATTAATGATCCTGTTGTTATTTTCACTTTTTATTAGATCTCTTCTGCTCAAAAACCTTCCAGGTTGCACGTCACTTGATAATGAAACCTACAGTGCCTCGATCATTATTCCTCTCCCAAACCCTGGGCTCTGCCCAATCTGAAATATTGACAGATTCCATTACTTTTCTCTGTGCTCTCACTCCACAGTTCAAACTGTCTTTGTCCTGATTACCTTAGCACCAAGTAATGACTCTTTCCTCTGTGGCAGCTCCTCTGTGCAGCAGAGGACCAACTTTTCTTTTAGAGTAGGCAACTCTACATTACAAACGGCTAGCTTGTAATCCCATAGGCTAAAACAAGATGAATCCAAAGTGTGAGACCAGCTCGGGCAATTTAAGGGAGATTCCATCCAAAACAAATACATAAAAAAGTAAAAAGGGCTGAGGATGTAGCTCAGTGGTATAGCCATCCCTGGGTTTAATCTGCAAGCAAAGCAACAACAAAACTGCCAAAAGCAGAGGCTTTGTCTGGTTCATCTTTTTCCCTTCAGAGCATCTCACATGCAGCTGACGCTCAGCAAACACTTGATGAAAGAACAATACATTTTCCTTATTTCAATGGGCTCGCTCACTCTGTGGAATCAGATATTTGGTTATTCTCAGCTTTACGTTATTTTGTTGGCTCCCCGAGAGCACATAAACACTTAAAGTTGCTCGTTCTCTCTTTTACTTGGAAAGAGCTTTTGGAACTGACAAAGAGTGACTTCTCCATGCCTCATCTCCTGCCACTCCCTCATATTCAAGGGTTCCATGCAGGAAAGGAACTACTTAGCATCACACAAAATAGGACTTTCTTATGCTTTCATTTCTCCACAGCATGTGCTGATTCCTGTGCCTTGTGTGCCCTCACTTCGGCCGCTCTGCCTGCCCTATGTCTTCTTATCCTCCAAGACTCAGCCCTCTCCGTGAAGGCTTCTATGCAGTGGACCAAGGATGACCCCTCTTCCATATTTTTGGCCTTCTCAGTCTTCCCTCAAATAGTTGTAATAGTAGAGTGGCATTGTTTACATCTCTGCTACCTCTCTGGGCTGTGAATTGCTTGTGGGCCAGAATTGATTAGTTTCTTTTTTTCATCTTCTTCCTATTTTTTTTAGGGCCAGAATTCTTTTCATTTTATCTTCTATCTCTAGCACAGTGCTTACATGTATTAGGTGCACGGTTCAGTCAATGAACGAACGAATCCATGAATTCATCTCAGACGGCAGTGGGTTTTGTTTGTTTCTTTTCTTTTCTTTCTTTCTTTCTTTCTTTTTTTTTTTTTTTTTTGTACCCGATATGGAACTCAGGGTCGCACACTTGCCAGGTAGGCATTTATGCTGCTGAGCTAAATATCCAGCTGTTTGGTTTTTTCTTGATAGGGTCTCACTCTGTAATTCAGACTGGCCTTGAACTCACTGTGTAGCCCAGGCTAGTCTCTAACGGAAGGCAACCCTCCTGCCTCAGCCTCTAAAGTGCAAATGCGCCCTCAAGCCCAGCAACACTACAGTTTGTATGATCTGGATTCCCAAACAGCTGAAGACCTGGTTCTGCATATGTACTCGCTTTCTTCTACTGTCAATGCCGAAGTTTGGTAAAAAGAGAAGGAAAAGTCATTTGAACGTGAAAGTGTTATTCCTTCAGCATAGCGCGGTAATTTATCCACTCCAGCACGGAGAGGGTTATTATGACCGAGGGGCGGGGCCAGGCGGGTGACACCTGCTGCGAGGCGGCGTTGCGCATGCGTCCCGGCACGCGGACCCTCTAACTGTGGGGCCCGGCTGCGGAGGAGCGCCTGCGCTCTGGGCCTTTTCCGCCGGGGGGAAGTCTCGCGGGGGCGGGGCGGGGCGCGGCGCGGCGGGGCGGGGCGGGGCCGCGTGGGGAAGTTCTCGCGGGAGCCAGCAGAGGAGCGGAAGTGAGGCGGCTGTGCTGCTTGGGCTCCCGGGCGGCGGCGGCGGCGGCGGCGTTGGCGGCGGCAGCGACGACCACGACCGAAACTGAAGTGGTGACGGCGGCCGGAGTAGACGCCGCCCCGTGGAGCAGCAGCAGAGTCCGCGGCTGCTCGCAGTGCTGCGGAGAGGCGGGCCGGGCGCGACGGAGGCAGCTGCGCCACGGTGAGTGCGGGCGGCCGCGCGCGGCGGGCTCCGGTGTGTCTCTCTCCCCTCTCGGCGGCGGGGTAACGGGCCCAGCCTGCCCGGGGCCGCCGGGCAGAGCCAGGGTTCCGGTCGTGGCGGAGAGGCTGTGGACAAGGAGCGGAACCTCTGGGTTGCGGACTCCGCGTTTCCCCTTTTGGGGCGCTTCCTCCCTGGGGACCGTCCTCCTCAGGATCTGGACAGAGCCCGGGACCCCGGGAAGGAACCTGGACTCCCTAATGAGTTCTGCCTCGCGTCGTGAGGATTTGCGTAGAAGGGACCCCGAGCACCCGAGAGGCACGGGGTGGCAATTCCGTGAGTCAGGCTGACTTAGCCCGGGGGGCGGGGGTTTCGGTGCAGGCTGCGAACGTGGTGATTGATACTCCTTCGACCTGCGCGGCAACCACGTCACCGTCTCTTGGCATTTGGGGGGAATTTTTTGCGGAAATTATCCACTGTGAGTTTGAATGTTTGCAACTGGAACCCGTAGAGATACCTGTGTGCCGGAGGCTTTCTTTTTTAAGTGTCCTAGAAAATTCTGGTCAGGAAAAATAAGCAGCAGCAGATCGGAGCGTTTGGAGAAAGATTAGCGTGTGAGAGCGCTGTTAATGCTCGTTTGCAAGACTGTCCCGGTATGTAAGTGACTGTGAGGCAGATGAAATACGGCTTGTTTTGAAAGTGATTCTAGGCTTGCTTCAATTGCTATAAAAGTGCAAATTGCAGAAGAACTGAAGTGCACTTGAGGTCTAGCTTTAGATGTTGTTGGCGCTGAAAAAACTAAGACACGACAAATGTTCGCTTCAGTGTATGTTGGCTTTCTGAGCTCTCACTTTGCACTCCCGTTATCAGTTACTCTCGGTCCGATTGCCCTAGGGCCAGAATGCTTACTTTTGTAACTCTAGTCATTTGCTCCTTTCACCCCACTTTTTTTCTAGTCTACTTCCTCTTCCTCCTTTCTGGCCTTTTTTCAGGCGTAATTTTTCAAACTTTCTGCCTTTTTGGCGCTGTGGGTGTTCTTCCTCCTTTCAGATTACGTCTTGCTCGGGAAGGGCTCTTCTCTTCTGCTTTCATTCCTTTACCTTTAAACGTCCGTGTCCTTCAGCCAGCCAAATGGGTTGCTAGAGAGCTGTGGAGACTTAAATTCTCGAAACTGGGAGTCTAAAAGGGTTGAATTCTTCCTAAGTCGTCAGTAGTTCCACAAGGTCATAAGTGTAGTTTGCGTTTGTTACTTATTTAGTATGCTTGTATTTTAGTTTTTTCTTCAATTCTAAGATTTTTGTGACTGCTTTTGTTTTTCTTCCTCTATATTTTTGTTTTAATGAGAAAGATTAAGTCAGTTTGGGGCTTATGTGACTTTCAGTGGGGAGCTAGTGTTAAAAATGAAAATCAGCTGTAAAGTAAATTAACATAACCTGAAAAATTTAAAGGGCTATAACTTATTTAGACCATTGACAAATTAGTGAAGTCTACTCATGGTAGTAGCACTAATTTACTCATCAATCTATTTAAAAATGTTGACATCTTACTGTATTGGCTACCTTTACCTTTCTCCTCCTCTTCATGTGCCTGCCTCTTCTACTGCTCTGTGCTGGGGATCAAATCCAGCATACCCCTGCATGTTAACCATGAACTACCCCTCAGTTGTACTCCCCTGCTTCTGTTGTTTTTGACAGAAATTTTTATTATTTTATTTTATTTTAGTTTTTTGAGACAGGGTCTCACTGTACAGTTCAAGCTGACCTTGAACTCACTGTGTAGCCCAGGTTGGCCTCAAATTCATGGAACTCCTCCTGCCTCAGCCTCCTGGGTGTTGGGATTACAGACATGTGCCACCATGCCTGGCTAGAAATATACTTTTTGTTCTTTCCCATGTTCAAAATTTTCCATTTTCCAAGGGAAAAAAATTAAATTTTAGTCTGGTGTGGTGGTGTCCGTCTGTAATCCCAGCACTGCAGCAAGCTGGACAGGAGCATCATAAGTTCTAGGTCAGCCTGGGCAAATTAATAAAATCTTATTTCAAAATTTAAAATAACATAAAAAGGGCTGGAGATATCAGTCAGAGTAAAGGCTTTAAACCCCAGTTAACCCCTTCCCTCAAAAAAGTTAATTCTTGGGGCTGGAAATTTAGTTCAACTGCACAAGTGCCTGCCTTGCAAGTGCGTAGTTGTGAGTTTGATCCCAGGTACCAAAAAAAAAAAAAAAGAGTTCTTGGCCAGGACTTTAGCTCAGATGCTCAAATACTTTGATTCGATCCTCAGTACCAAAAAAAAAAAAAAAAAAAAAAAAGTTAATTCTTAAAATTGTTTTTCTTTGACACAAATGGTAAGCATTTAAGTGCTTAAGGCAGTTTACTTCAGGAGGTTTTCAGATTTGAGAGAATTGGTGTTTTATGAACTGCTTGTTAATAGTACTTAGAGTTATTATTATTAGTAGTACTTTAAGTTATTAGAGATACTCCTCTAGTAGTTTAATAGTCTTCTTAGCAAACTATTAGATAGAGCAAAAGAGTAGTAGATTTGGAAAAAATAAAGTAATAAGAAATGGAAAGCTACTGTGCCTTCCTAAGAGAAATCAGGAACTCCCCACTGTTGTGAAAGGCTATTGGGATTCTTTGTTTTGCTTTTTCTTGTTTGTTGCAGTTGGCTTTTCCCCAGTTGTGCCACATGAATGTGTGTTACTTTAATTTTATATAAAGACACTGGAATGCATTATCTGGAATGCAGTTAGGGAGGCAATTCTGGGAATTGAATCCAGTGGTTTATGCTTTCTTTCTTTCTTTCTTTTTTTTTTTTCTTTTTATCGATACTGGGGATCGAACTCACGACTGCCTGCTTGCAAGGCAGGCGCTTACGCTGCTGAGCTAAATCCCCAACCACTATGCTTTATTTCTAAACTACATCTCAAACTCTTTCAAAATATTTTTTATTTTGAGACAGGATCTCACTAAGTTGTCCACTGTCAGCTAGAACTTGCCATCCTCCTCTAAGTTATTTAGAAATATTGTAGACAGACAGGCCTGGGTTCTCTAGAGGTCAGTGCAGAAGACAACTGTGGCTGGAGGCCTGTGCACTAAAGGACAGGCTTCAACAAAAAGAGGAATTACTACACCCGTATACTTCCCCCGAGGAATGAACTGTAGTGATTTTGGTACTCTAAGCGTCAGTCTCCCTTGGGTAAGGGACCAAAAAAACCTCCTTAATCTATCCCTTCCAGGAAAGACCTTGTCTGTCCCATGTGTGCTTGCTATGTGACTTGCTTCTCAATTTGATTCCCATATAATCACTTAAAAGTGATTATACATGTCATCTTACTGGTTTGCCATACTTTTTTCCCATCCCCTCATCCTGTGATTTTCCGTTGGATTAATGTGATCTAAGCAACTATGCTTATAGTTCTGTCCCACCTTAGACCCACCTCACTTCTTCCATATGCTCTTAGAACTCCCTTGAGAAGGGGGATCCCCGGCCACCCACTGGGATCTCTTTTGTCTTTCTTAGTATTTTTTCTACCTCTTAATAAATACTACTTTTAATGTTTGTTGTTCCTATAATTCATTCTTCAATTTTAGAGAACACGAACTCAGCCTGTCCAACAGCTAGCAGTTTGGGAATTATATTTCCCTTATATTATTTGGAGGTCCTATATCATCCCTGTGTCCCTCCTACCTCAGTCTGAGTAGTTTGGATTGCAGGGAGGCCCTAGTGCACTTGGCTGGAATGCAAATTTAAAAATTTGTTTAGCAGTGATTCTTTTTTTGCCCCCTAGGTGTGGGTCACGGGTTGAGACACAATCTTGCTCTGTAGTTCAATTGTCTTAAACTCACTTTGTAGTCCAGGCAGGCCTCAGATTTACAGTAGTCCTTCTGCCTCAGCTTCCCAAGTGCTGAGATTACAGGTATATACCACTACATCAGCCAATTCTTAAGATTTATAAGTATCACCTGGGATTCTTTCTACAATTATCCTCTGGCAGAATTCTATCGGATACACTACAGTGAATCTCTGGAAGAGGGAATTTTGATGTAGAGAGTCCAAAATTTAAAAAAATTTAAAAAGTATTTTAAAGAATTAAAAGAAAGTCATAAAATAGACTTGTGTGGGACCTTAAATTACTGAACTTAAGGGGCTGGGGATTTAGCTCAGCGGCATAAGCACCTGCCTTGCAATCAGGCAGTCGTGAGTTTGATCCCTGGTACCGGTAAAAAGGAAAAAGAAAAAAAAAAAAATACTGAACTTAAAATGAAGCACTTTCTGTATATTGAAAGTAGATATTTAGAATAGCATTGTAAAAAACGAAGAATAGCATTGTAATTGTCGACAGGTATGCTTAGTTTGTTTCTTTAAATACTGAGGATTGAACCCAAGGCTTTCACCCTAAGTTACATCCTGAGGTCCTTCATTTTTTTTTTTCTTCCTTTTTTAAAAAGAGATTTGTGCCAGGGATTTAGCTCAGCGGTGTAAGTACCTATCTGGCAAGCATAAGGTTGTGAGTTTCATCTCCAAAAAAAAAAAAAAAACAAATTTGTGATCAAAATTTTGATCCTCTTGTGGCAGCCTCCTAGTGTGCTAGGATTATTTGTTTACGCAGTTGTACCGGGTTATGATTAGTTTTTATATGTGAAAACTTTGGGGCATTGTTGGGCTTGTGATATGGAGTGATTTATCGTTTAAGCATATATATATATATATATATATTTTTTTTTTGTCTTTTTCATTTTTCTCGGTACCAGGGATCGAACTCACGACCGCCTGCTTGCAAGGCAGGTGCTTATGCCGCTGAGCTAAATCCCCAGCCCCGAGCATATATATTTTTAAAATCTTTTTGTTTTTGTGCTGCTGCAGATAAAGCTTTGTCTCCTGAGTACTAGTCAAGTGCTCTACCAATGAGCTATATCCTTAGCCCATATCCTTAGCTATATCCTTTGTATTTAGTAGGGCTGTTAATTAAAGTGCATGATCTGTTTAATTCTCACAGTATGTAGA